GACATAGGAGTTGGAAAAAGTGGTCTAATACATGTCAGCAAGATGAGGCCACAGAACATGAAAGGAAAACAGACATTAGAGTTAGGAGACAAAGTTGAAGTTAAAGTAGTCAGTGTTGATGTGAACAGAGGAAGGATTGGACTAGAACTGATAAAGTTGTATTGACCATATTCTGCTATATTTACATGTGCATGTTTCAATGGCAGGTGTTAATTGTATTTGAAACGTGCATAATCTCGATTTGGATAACCTTTCCAGCGTAATTTTGGTTGGACATTTCACTTATTTCAGTGGACCACTACCCTTTATCTATCAAATAATATACCATTCATTTGCTCATATTGTATTTGATAAAATTACCTGTGCATTTTACTTTGTACCAAACAGTGAACTCAATGTTTATGTCAGTTCTTCATTAATATTTCTAAAATAAGACTTGAAAAAAGTTTTTTTGTTAATCATTATTTTGTATTTAATAAAGAAATGTATTGCACTGCCTGTATTTGGACTAGAGTGTTTGGGCTAGAACCATGGGACCTATTGAATACAAAGTTAGATTAATTACTGTTATTGCATACTTTCAAGCATATATACATAGTACTTACACTAGGCCGAAAAAGTTTGGAAACATGAATTTTTTTTGAATAATTTAAAAACTATATAATGTAGTGGGAAAATCTTCAGTGTGTATTAAAAAAGTAACAAATGGTGGCTACATTATCCATCAATATTTGGTTAACTCCTATGGTTATTTTATAATTTATTCAAAACTGTTTCCCAATTTTTTTTTTATACGTGTGTATAAATATAAATTATGTGGCCTAAAGAAAACTCAACTCTGATGGGAGCTTAATATAAATGAACCGGTTTATCATTCAGTTATGCTGACTGCACCTGGTGAGATTCCCTGCAGAGTTGGGTGGATCCATGTAGACCAATGGTGTGTATGGGAATGGGGTCCAAGAGATTAATGAGTGGTGCAATGTACTATCTCACAGGGAGAAAATGTCAAAACTTTTTGACATATCCCATCACAAAACTAACAGCAGGTATAAAAAACAGCTGCTTGCTACTTACTAGTAATGTCAAATTTTTTCAAGAACAGTTTTTCAATTTATTTTTAACAGTGAAAACTGTAACAAATATTTAAAACACTGCTAGATGCCCTTTAAAATGCATGCATCTAAATGGAGCAAATTCACAAATAATGGTTTTGCCAATAAACTTGAATAAACAATTTCTTCTTCAAATGGCCATTTTTTCTCTGTTAATCTGCTGTTGCTCTAAAATTGACTTTGCAGTTCTACATGTATCCCCGTAAATGTGCTTAAATTGACACATACAAAGAAGGTGACACCTCCCAATCCTTGTATTCAGATGTTTATCAATGACACTCCAGCAACACTGATGTCCTGCATTGCATGTAAAACGGGCCACCATGAAAGTAATTTTTGTACTACAGCCATTTTTCGGAGAATATTCCACTGTGTAAAAATATTCAGGGGTGTTTCCTGGCTTATGGATTTCAAACTTCATGATTTACGATATTCCCCAGTCACTGTAGTCTTTGTCTTTTATTTTAATATCAGAGTTCCATGAATCCACAGTAAAATAATAAGCTAGAAAAGATGGAAAAAAAATTTCTGATAAAATCGAGCCCAATATGGTGATTTCATATATAAACTACAATTTTTAATGATTGTTGTAAAACAAAAGGTTATTTTGACAAAAAATTAAACCAATATCTCATTAAATTATAGTGTAAATGATAATCTTCTATTAAATTATATAAAAACTAAACTACAATGCAGTATGTATACACAATTACCTTCAAGAAGCCGAGGAACATTGTGATATGCTCTTTTTCTCATCTCTAAAATACAGAAAAAAATCAAATGCTGTAAGCTTTAAAATTTTTGACTTCTGCTTTACAAAGTATATTTGCCAATTGTTGCAGACAATGAACAAATTTGTGTGTAAACTTGGCGTATTACTTTTTAAGTGGCGGCCAAAACAACATGCACTTAAATGGAAGCACCTCGTTAAAAAAAAAGATGAAAAATTGTGTTCTTAAATAATCCAAATATATATATATAATCACCTTGCGACTTGTGCAGTGCATTAAATCCAAGGTAAACTGCTCCCATAAAAACCAATTCTACAAAGAAAATTCTCTTGGAAAGTTGCACTGGGTCCCTTTTATGTTTCTTTTTTTGATACATGAGCATGATGGCTACTGGCTCGATAAGTTTTATGTCAGGTAAATAGCAGATGTCAGGTAAATAGCAGAGAAAGTTATAAAAATGTTCACAGCTCTCTTGTAGAAGGAGGTGAAATTTGACGAGGTAAGAGGTATGCTTGTAATGATGATTTATTTTCAAACAAAAGTATATATTGTACTTTAAAACAACATTAAAGCCCAGTGGCTAATGCATGCAGCGTGGAGTTTAATGTAATAACCTGACACTTTTATTTTATATGACACAGCGTTTTTGCTTCTTAAAACTGGATACAACTTTATAAATTATATTATTCATTTTAAACCTGAGGAGTCGGCCATGCTAACAGCTTTGGATAGGTAACAATCCAAATGTTAAAACGCACTTTTTGATTTCTAAAAAAAGACATGCAATTTAACCATGGGTCATTTAGATTAAATTGATGTTTAGGGATTTTATAACCATTGTGCGACATTTCAAGCTTGGTTGAAAGGGATTGCTAACGTTATCTCTGCTGCTTACCCTTTCAGTTTTTCATAGATTGATTTGCATGACCTAGGCTTCTCATTTGATTGCCAGCTTTTTGTGAGTTTGTGATGCTTATTGTGTCTTGAAATATGTCTTAATGCATTTCAGGCTGTCAACATGAATAACGTATCAGCGTTTGTTGGAAAATTCCTACAGATGTCGGCCTCTCTGTCCTCTAGGATAATGGGTAAATATGTTTTCAGCCTCAGATATCTTATCACATTCATAATGAAACGGGTCTTATAAACAAGACAGTGAAACACAGTGCAATACACTAGAAAACACATGTCCAGTGACAAGTAAACACAGGAAATGGTCATTCACAAGAAAATAAGGTGTATCTTTGATACAAGTTGGCAAAATCAGTACAATATTTGTTAAATTGGGGTGTTCACCATATTGTCAAGAAGAGCCACCAGCCAACATTGCCGATGACCCATCAATAAATGAGTCGTGCAAATTTGTTAAGTTGCATCAACAATATCAATTACCTTTTAATTTTATATTTCGTTTCTATATTGCCCTGTTTTCGTGCAAGTGACCATTTTCTGTGATATACTTGCAACTTGTTTTTTCAAGTGTATTGCATTGTGTTGCACCAAATTGTGCATTTGTGGTACACTGACATTGAGTAAATATCTTTCATCCATGATCCTATGTTCCATCAGACTGTAAATGTTCCATCTGTTTTATACCAAGAGCATAATGATAATAGTTATATTATTAATAAATTTATCAAGATACCGGACCTTATTATTATCATATGTTAATCATCTTGTAAATGGGTGCATACTCGTCCTGTGTGTACTGTGGATATCATTGTATGTCATTTTTACTGTATTGCTGTATGGAATTCTATATAGTTTTTTTTTTAAAGTTTAACCTTTTCTTGAGAAGAATCGCTTGTGACCTTTCACATAAGAATTGAAAATAATGATTATCTTATTAATGTTACAGGCATGGCACACCAGAGGTTGCCCTTATTTAGGCTATCCTCTTTAAAACCAGATGGAAATATTATGATGATTTGTAGAACTTCCACTACCCAAAATCAGATATGCAGAATTGGATTAACAAGACCTAATGGATGTTTGAACTCATTTGGTCATAAAATTATGCCTCTGAATCAGATGCATGGTAGGACACATTTTCAAACAATGTTACAACTGAGCACACCTTTCCGCAGCATGACAACATTGAATCAGATGCATAGACAAGCCCGTCCCAAACCTAAGAAAAAGAATTCCATACAAAAAGCCATGATGGGAAAACCAGCAATGAAGGCTGTTGTTCTAAAACCTATTATACGTAAACCAAAAAAGCCTAACTCAGCCAACAGGAAATGTGTCAAAGTACGGCTGATGAGTGGAAAAGAGGTGATTGCCTATATCCCTGGGGTAGGAAATAATCTCCAGGAACATCATTTGGTACTTGTAAGGGGCAAGGGCCCCAAAGACTTGGCAGGAGTGAATTTCACATGCATGCGTGGACAGCTTGATCTTGGTCTTCCACAAAAAAAGAAGTTATGAGAGGTTTTAAAATGACAGTAATCATGAAAATTACGAATATTTTGTGAAATGCAAATTAAAAAAGTATTGTAATGGGACTTATTTCACTTTTGTATACCAAGAATGATAATCCATCTGGACCTGTTATAATGAAATTATAATGAAATTATCAATAAACATATAACAAAACTTGGTCAAGAAAACTTAAAGGAGTTATGATGAGCTTAGAGTTATCATTTTTGTGTTATTTATTCAATACATAAACTTAATGCAACATGTAACACTTTTGATCTATGGGCCATTTTAATGGTCATGTCAGTGGTGAATCATAGTTGGTATCTACCAGTACCCTATATCACTGAAGAAACACTAGTCATAGTTCATCTTTTTGATAGTTGCAAGTCTTGGCCCTGGTTTCAGAAAAAAAAAAAAAAAAAAAAAACTTAAGTCAGTTTCCTCGCTAAAGATGTATGCATGTGACCATGTAACATTGGTAGCAAAGATGTTAGTCACTGGAACTGACTCCAGTTTTTTGTGAAACTGGGGCCTGACTTGCCAATGATACCGCTATGATTTTATCTAAAATGACCTCCGATCTTAAATGGGAAGTGTTTGGGTCATCTGGTTGCCCTGGGTCTAATGAGTCTAAAGTTTGTTTTGGGGCTAATATCTTAGTCTAATTACATTGGGTTTCACATAGAATCTTAAAGGCTTTTTACCTTGATCTTTCAGTTTTGAAAGTAAGCCCAAAGACCAAATATCATATCCTAGTCCTACCCTCTACCAGGACAACTGATTGATTTTTCACAAGAAATTCACAGATATGTCTTTAAATAGATAGACAGTCATTTGGTTCTCTATCATGCGAATGTGAAAAATGTATGTACAATATTTGCCACCCAGGTAGAGGGTATCCAAGTCCTACTTTAAAGCAGGATAAAGCTACAGCTTCTCACTGAAACCAAGTACCTGAGAGAATACACAACACTTTTAAAGTAGAAAGTATCTTCTTTATAATATTTGTTATCAGTCTGATTAACTGATCAAGATCATCCTTCACTTTCAATAAAAATTTTATTTCGAAATGTTATGCATGTTGGCTCATTGTTTGCCCTTCATATTATCATTATCACAAACCTTCTTAAAACAATTACTAAGACTGTAAATTTGGATGAAAAATAAAGCGGCATTTGTAGGTGATCCTGTTGTATGTATGTGATTTTGAACTATCATGAAGGGGAAAATTGTAACAAGTGGTCAGTGACAAAAATTATGACAGAACCTGGGTTGCTTCATTCTATCATTGCATCAAAATGGACAAAAACTCTATTTTGTGCACTTTTAACATTCTGGCATTTTCTGTGTGCAAATTTGAACTCTCATGGGCCTGAAACCATATGCTTGTCACAAATTCTTGATATCTATGTTACTGTTGTGTACAATTTAAATTTGGTATTGATTTTGGTGTTAAGCACAATGTAATTTTTCATCAGAATTGACAAAAATTCTATTTTGTGCACCACCACTAAAGGAAAACAATGTTTCTTATTGTGCTCACGCTTGCAATTGTGATTCTTATGAATAAAACAGGAGGAAACCCAGCTCAATTAGTTTTTTTTTTTTTTCAGGTTCTTAAAATGATCATTTTTTTTCACAACTCAAGATTTTCAGGGTTATGAATTTAAACTCTTATGAGCCTGAAGGCCTATGCCGGTTTCATATTCTTCATGTCCATGTTACCTGATATGCAAAATTAGAATTTTGCGTTGATTTTGCTGCTATGCGTGTAATAATTAATCAAAATTGACAATTAAATAACCTATTTTGTGCATCATTTTCTGCTTTAAGTCTGTACATGTGACAGCTTTGCTGCTTTGTTTACATTTTTATTATGTTTATTTATTTTGTGTGTATGTGTGAATCTGTGCTCTCATACATAAAACTGAATGAAAAAAATTCTAGCTGCTCAGATAGTGAACTTTTAAAACCATTCCAAAAATAAACTGTATTGTGCAACTTGAAGTATTTATACCTTGTGTGGTTTTAAAAAGTATATTTTAGAATCATAAATGACGAAATCCCTAATATTCTGTGGATGACTTATTTTCACAGAAGTTGAGGCTTTGGAGCAATTTTCTTTTAGCCATTATCAGATAATTGATATTATGAGGATGGAAATGTAACAATACTTAAGTAGATACATAGATGTAAATTTTTTTCTTAAACAAACTTTAATACTTTTTGTTCATCTAGTTCAGGTTATTAAATGTCCAAACATTAATCAGAAGAGAAGAAATTTTATTCAAATGATGTTCAACCAAATGGTTGATCAATAAGAGACCATTCCCATAGATATTTAGATCGATCTATCCCCCTGGGGAGTCTCACTAGATTGCTGTCATCTGGATCGACCTAACTACCTGGGGGTTCATGCTAAATTGCTGTCAGCCGAGCACGCATGGAAGTTAATTACCCCCTTACAGCTTTTAGTAGGCAGGACAGACATTTAAGCCGGCTAAGCTGACAGCAATCTAGTGAGACTCCCTACAGGGATAGATCAGTCTAAAATCTGTGGGAATGCAGTCTTAGAGGTGAACATGTTTAGCAGTTTATTTGCAAAGTTTTACCATGAAAAGAATGTAGTTGTCATAACTTTATAACACATTGCCCCTCTTTTAGACGCGATGCTATGAAATGCAACCTAACTAGTAGAAGTTAAGTGGACCTAAGCCCCCTTTCCCCTTCTGCAATCATATGTAGATGTAACACTGAAATGCAAAATATGTCACCCTAAGGTTTTCATGAACCAACATGTGCCAGATTTTTCATTTTCAGAACTAAAAGTGTAAGCTTATCTAGCAACAGAAAATGTGGCAATATCAGTAGAAAACTTCTTGGGGTCTGCAACTTGGACTGCAGGATTCATTTTACAACCAAAACAACCTGTGTCTAATTTTATTCTTTATTGTTCAATAAGTTACCACTTGTTTTGTACAAAATGTACAATCAGTAAAGAAACATTTCAGAGCTGTGTCTAAAATAATGCTTCCCTTCCTTGTTTTAAACATAAATACAATTTAGATACAATCTTGATTGCACCATGCATAGAGTTGACCATAGATTATGTGTGAAAAAATACTCAAATTTTTTTTAAAAACATCACTTGTGAAATGGATGTCCAGTTACAGAAATATTCAACAAAATAAGAAAATTGTTAGATTTTTAAAATTCATATTTAGTGTACTTGTTACACTGACATTTTCACTCATTTTGTATAACTCCATATTATATTACTGTTAGGCTACTAACTTTAGAGATAGGTCTAATATTACTTTTACTTTGGTTCACATTGCCTTACTTCTTTTTCTTAACATTACAACACAGAGACCATTCCCAGACCCTATCGTACTAACTGTGGATCGATCTATCTCCTAGTGGATTCTCACTGAATTGCTATTAACTTAAGGGGCTTAAATGTCTGTCACACCTACTGAAGCTGCTAGGGAGTATTTAATTATCGTTAAGCAGCTTCAGCAGGCGTGCCAGACATCTAAGCTGTTTAAGCTTAAACCAATTTAGCAAGAATCCCTCGGAGATAGATCGATCTTGTCAGATCAATCTAGGTATGGGAACCCAGTCAAAGTGTTTGTTTCAGTATTCAACTCTTTAACACATTTACTAAAAAATCTGGAAATCATTACCTCTGGTTAACAAGTTTAACTGGAGTTTCTTGGCAAAGGGTCACATGTTTTTTAAGAATTTTCTCAGATAACCATTTTTCCATCTCTTTATTATTAAAGCTTTTATATAAAGGGCTACTATTTTTTCATAATTTTATCATTAGGCAGACCTTTTGCTTGAAAGTACATAAAACTATGGGGTTATGTACAAGGTCCAATCGGAAATGAACCCTTTACAATGGTCATTAGCTAGCCTGTGTATTACAAAATCAACAATGTGAATCATTTGATATTGCACAAGCAGGTAAGAAAACGCACATAAAACATACTGAGAAAATGTTAAGTAATAAAATACTATATGTACACTTACATAACAGACTGCTAACAGAGATTTACACATTTGTTTCATTACCTTTGACTTATATGAAAAGTACAATTAATTTTATTGTGGTCTTTGGTTTGTCAGTATTATGTGATTAAACATATCACCNGTGTCTGTACATAAAAAGTATTGTAATGGGACTTATTTCACTTTTGTATACCAAGAATGATAATCCATCTGGACCTGTTATAATGAAATTATAATGAAATTATCAATAAACATATAACAAAACTTGGTCAAGAAAACTTAAAGGAGTTGTGATGAGCTTAGAGTTATCATTTTTGTGTTATTTATTCAATACATAAACTTAATGCAACATGTAACACTTTTGATCTATGGGCCATTTTAATGGTCATGTCAGTGGTGAATCATAGTTGGTATCTACCAGTACCCTATATCACTGAAGAAACACTAGTCATAGTTCATCTTTTTGATAGTAAGTCTTGGCCCTGGTTTCAGAAAAAAAAAAAAAAAAAAACTTAAGTCAGTTTCCTCGCTGAAGATGTATGCATGTGACCATGTAACATTGGTAGCAAAGATGTTAGTCACTGGAACTGACTCCAGTTTTTTGTGAAACTGGGGCCTGACTTGCCAATGATGCCGCTATGATTTTATCTAAAATGACCTCCGATCTTAAATGGGAAGTGTTTGGGTCATCTGGTTGCCCTGGGTCTAATGAGTCTAAAGTTTGTTTTGGGGCTAATATCTTAGTCTAATTACATTGCGTTTCACATAGAATCTGAAAGGCTTTTTACCTTGATCTTTCAGTTTTGAAAGTAAGCCCAAAGACCAAATATCATATCCTAGTCCTACCCTCTACCAGGACAACTGATTGATTTTTCACAAGAAATTCACAGATGTGTCTTTAGATAGATAGATAGATAGACAGTCATTTGGGTCTCTGTCATGCAAATGTGAAAAATGTATGTACAATATTTGCCACCCTGGTAGAGGGTATCCAAGTCCTACTTTAAAGCAGGATAAAGCTACAGCTTCTCACTGAAACCAAGCACCTGAGAGAATACACAACACTTTTAAAGTAGAAAGTATCTTCTTTATAATATTGGTTATCAGTCTGATTAACTGATCAAGATCATCCTTCACTTTCAATAAAAATTTTATTTCGAAATGTTATGCATGTTGGCTCATTGTTTGCCCTTCATATTATCATTATCACAAACCCTCTTAAAACAATTACTAAGACTATAAATTTGGATGAAAAATACAGCATCCTTTGAAGGTGATCCTGTTGTAAGTGTGTGATTTTGAACTATCATGAAGGGAAAATTGTAACAAGTGGTCAGTGACAAAAATTATGACAGGACCTGGGTTGGTTCATTCTATCATTGCATCAAAATGGACAAAAACTCTATTTTGTGCACTTTTATCATTCTGGCATTTTCTGTGTGCAAATTTGAACTCTCATGGGCCTGAAACCATATGCTTGTTACAAATTTTTGATATCTATGTTACTGTTGTGTACAATTTAAATTTGGTATTGATTTTGGTGTTAAGCACAATGTAATTTTTCATTAGAATTGACAAAAATTCTATTTTGTGCACCACCACTAAAGGAAAACCATGTTTCTTATTGTGCTCACACTTGCAATTGTGATTCTTATGAATAAAACAGAAGGAAACCCAGCTCAATTAGTTTTTTTTTCAGGTTTTTAAAATAATTTTTTTCACAAGTCAAGATTTTCAGGGCTATGAATTTAAACTCTAATGAGCCTGAAGGCCTGCCTATGCCAGCTTCATATTCTTCATGTCCATGTTACCTGATATGCAAAATTAGAATTTTGTGTTGATTTTGCTGTTATGCATGTAATAATTAATCAAAATTGACAATTAAATAACCTATTTTGTGCATCATTTTCTGCTTTGTCTGTACATTTGACAGCTTTGCTGCCTTGTTATTATATTTATTTATTTTGTGTGTATGTGTGAATCTGTGCTCTCATACATAAAACTGAATGAAAAAAATTCTAGCTGCTCAGATAGTGAACTTTTAAAACCATTCCAAAAATAAACTGTATTGTTCAACTTGAAGTATTTATACCTCTTCTGTGAATGACTCTTATTTTCACAGAAGTTGAGGCTTTGGAGCAATTTCCTGTTAGCCATTATCAGATAACTGATATTATGAGGATGGAAATGTAACAATACTTAAGTTGATACATTGATGTAAATTTTTTTCTGTAACAAACTTTTATACTTTTTGTCCATTTAGTTCAGGTTATTAAATGTCCAAACATTAATCAGAAGAGAAATTTTATTCAAATGATGTTCAACCAAATGGTTGATCAATAAGAGACCATTCCCACAGATATTTAGATTGATCTATCCTCCTGGGGAGTCTCACTAGATTGCTGTCATCTGGATCGACCTAACTACCTGGGGGTTCATGCTAAATTGCTGTCAGCCGAGCACGCATGGAAGTTAATTACCCCCTTACAGCTTTTAGTAGGTAGGACAGACATTTAAGCCGGCTAAGCTGACAGCAATCTAGTGAGACTCCCTACAGGGATAGATCGGTCTAAAATCTGTGGGAATGCAGTCTTAAAGGTGAACATGTTAAGCAGTTTATTTGCAAAGTTTTACCATGAAAAGAATGTATTTGTCATGATTTTATAACACATTGCCCCTCTTTTAGACGAGATGCTATGAAATGCAACCTAACTAGTAGAAGTTAAGTGGACCTAAGCCCCCTTTCCCCGTCTGCAATCAAATGTAGATGTAACACCAAAAAGCAAAATATGTCACCCAAAGGTTTTCATGAGCCAACGTGCTAGATTTTTCATTTTCAGAACTAAAAGTGTAAGCTTATCTAGCAACAGAAAATGTGGCAATATCAGTAGAAAACTTCTTGGGGTCTGCAACTTGGACTGCAGGATTCATTTTACAACCAAAACAACCTGTGTCTAATTTCATTCTTTATTGTTCAATAAGTTACCACTTGTTTTGTACAAAATGTACAATCAGTAAAGAAACATTTCAGAGCTGTGTCTAAAATAATGCTTCCCTTCCTTGTTTTAAACATAAATACAATTTAGATACAATCTTGATTGCACCATGCATAGAGTTGACAATAGATTATGTGTGAAAAAATACTCAAATTTTTTTAAAAACCTCACTTGTGAAATGGATGTCCAGTTACAGAAATATTCAACAAAATAAGAAAATTGTTAGATTTTTAAAATTCATATTTAGTGTACTTGTTACACTGACATTTTCACTCTTTTTGTTTAACTCCATATTACATTACTGTTAGGCTACTAACTTTAGAGATAGGTCTAATATTACTTTTACTTTGGTTCACATTGCCTTACTTCTTTTTCTTAACATTACAACACAGAGACCATTCCCAGACCCTATCGTACTAACTGTGGATCGATCTATCTCCTAGTGGATTCTCACTGAATTGCTATCAACTTAAGGGGCTTAAATGTCTGTCACACCTACTGAAGCTGCTAGGGAGTATTTAATTATCGTTAAGCAGCTTCAGCAGGCGTGCCAGACATCTAAGCCGCTTAAGCTTAAACCAATTTAGCAAGAATCCCTCGGCGATAGATCGATCTTGTCAGATCAATCTAGGTATGGGAACCCAGTCAAAGTGTTTGTTTCAGTATTCAACTCTTTAACACATTTACTAAAAAATCTGGAAATCATTACCTCTGGTTAACAAGTTTATCTGGAGTTTCTTGGCAAAGGGTCACATGTTTTTTAAGAATTTTCTCAGATAACCATTTTCCATCTCTTTATTATTAAAGCTTTTATATAAAGGGCTACTATTTTTTCATAATTTTATCATTAGGCAGACCTTTTGCTTGAAAGTACATAAAACTATGGGGTTATGTACAAGGTCCAATCAGAAATGAACCCTTTACAATGGTCATTAGCTAGCCTGTGTATTACAAAATCAACAATGTGAATCATTTGATATTGCACAAGCAGGTAAGAAAACGCACATAAAACATACTGAGAAAATGTTAAGTAATAAAATACTATATGTACACTTACATAACAGACTGCTAACAGAGATTTACACATTTGTTTCATTACCTTTGACTTATATGAAAAGTACAATTAATTTTATTGTGGTCTTTGGTTTGTCAGTATTATGTGATTAAACATATCACTAAATGGTAAGTTACAAACAAATGGCCATAAATTTTTGTAATTCAAATCAAATTCTTAATTCAACATTATTTTAGCAATTTTGTTTAATTTTAAGGATTCATCCATTAGATTATATTCATTCCATTTAGCTTAGTTGTTCAACAACTACTGTCTTTCAGATTAAAATGAAATGTTTTAGCAGATAATTCAATATTAGCTCTTGCAATTTTTTCAAAATCAAGGGGAGACAGTGGTCAAAAACATTTTCATATAAAGTCAAACAGAATTTATGTTCAAGATCATATGAGTAAAAATATTTTTAGTCATAAACTGAATTTGAATGATTAAACTGCATGCAAAATGATCATACTAGTTTTATAAAATCGAATGCAGAACTCATCAACTGTGGATGAAATAATTCACTTCTTAATGAAAGAAACTTAAGGAATGGTAACACATGAATTTTTGTGACTCAGTTAAGAAATACTCTTGAACTTTTGAAAAAGACATTCACAAATGAAACATATCAAAAACATTATATAGCATGACAACAACAACTTAATATTTGGTGAATAATGGGGCAATTATGTAAATAGAATGAAATGACTAAATAAAAAAAAAATCACGAACTGTACAATGATGATGAGTAAAAAAAAAGATCTGTACATCTATGTACAAGGCCATAACTAATTCACATTCAACAAAAAGGGGCACCCAAAATAAGATCTATTATTCAAGAATACAATAGGACTATCACAATCTCATGTTAAGTCCAGTGAAAATTAAAAAAAAAAAGAAACTTTACTAAAACCAAGGTTAAAGTAACCAGCAAACAAGTCACCCAACTGTTTAGATAATCTTAAGATACTAAAACTGTCTATTAAAACTGCAAGATACTAAATGTGTGCTCCACATTAGTATCTGTCCTGATCTATAAGTCCTAATATCTAGCTACTCATATCTACTTTTCTGATATATCCAGGCAGCTAGTGCAATACCACACCAACTTATAACCCAGCTATCATTAATACTGTGGAGAATAAGATGCTCTAGTAAAATTATGGCTCACTAAAGCACTGTCTGCCAGAGCAACCTAGTTTGCCAACAAAATATGACGATGAGAAATCAACAAATACAAAAATAGTCAACAATATCTTCACAAAAAATGAACTGACATATACTTGTCAACAACTTAAGTTTACAGGGTTCTGTACAGTTAATAAATAACATACTACCAGTATACACAAGAATCACTTGATTCTAACATAACTGCTACACAACTATTTCTTCTCCATGACTTGGGTGGTGACCACGACCCCTGTTTAAAGTTCTTGAGATCTCTATGTTACTCTCCTTTTTCCTTATTGGCTTTTTTAATGGAGGATCTTCAGGAAAGCTGCTCGAACTGTCAGTATTATGGTCTTTATGTAAGTATGAGTGCCCTCCTCTCCTTGGGCTTTTTTCATATTTTTCTAAATTATACTCAATAAGTTCTGTGGTGTTTGTTCCTGAAGTTGTTCCTCCACCTTTGTCTGTTTCAAACAGTGGATTTCTATATCTGCGTAGATTGTCCTCAATTTCCAAGTTTGTTTCATTGTTTCTGAATTCTGTGCTTGTTGAGGACGAATTCTTGTGTGCACGTTTCTGCTTCCTGCGCCTGTGCCACACAATCAGTACAATTATTGCAACTATTCCCATTAGACCGATTATAGAACAGATTACTGGGATTAAATAAGTACTACCTGAAAAGGGAGAAAAAAGATAAATATAAATATTTGTAAAGACAATTTGAGATTGCAATAGATGTGCCTTCATTCTATTAAATACTGGTAATTTGTCAAATGTTTCAGTCAATTGTTTTTTAATATCACGTTGCAACTATTTTCCCAAAAATCTCATAACTATTGTTATTGCTGTTTTTGTTAGTAAAAAAATATAACATTAGAATTACATAATACTAACCTTATATTTCTTTATTAACATCAATTTATCATTAAATAATAAACATATGTTTATTAATATAAGCTGATTTGTTACAAAGGCAATGTCCTGACATGTTAAAGTATATAGTTGCAACATTGGAGGTATAATATACAAATCATGCATTATCAAATACATGGAATACATAAAAATACTTCATAGATTGCAATGTGATAGGGCATGGCACATTCATTTTACACTTACTTTTATCTACAGTTTTATTAATGATTGTTGTCTCTAATTTGACCTCCACAACAGCTACCAGGGCACTGCTGTTGCTCATACGATTGCTTATAACATCCGACATATCTTCTGCTGCTCTGTGGACAAATGGCTTTGACTTCACAGAGTCCGCAGGTTGGGATTCAGCTGACGACTCATCTGGGGTGGACTGGAACAAGGAGAAGAAATAAACTCTTGTTTTTCTTATCAACATTTGGATTCAAAGTCAATGAAAAAATTGATTTTCCTGAGAAATCAGCTTTTTGTCAGTTATACTTGCAAAGTAAATTAGATTATGTTATAGCTCTTATCAAATCATATCTATATGTATTATCAATTATGAACCCTGTTCATGTAATCTCAAGTATTCACCTGCAAAATGCAACAATCACAATACAGCTTTTATAATTTCTTTCAATGATAAAAGACAAGCATACATCACAAGACCTTTCTAAATAAGATACTCAATATGAAACTAACCACTGTTATTTCAATGGCATCATTTTGGCCACTCTTGATAGCACATAATATCACTATTGTTTTTTCTTGGCTGAGAGTTTTTACAATTGGCAACTGGCGAATACTATTGCAAATGCCCTCCACTGATATGCCCTGTAACATAAAGATAATATGTAATATGTGACTACCAACTTCACAAAGTTGGGAGACTATTGTTTATAATAATATTGAGATACCATAAAAATCATAAAGTCCAATGGAACCTTTAAAAGTCTTAAACTATTCTCATGCCAAATCTACCAGTAAATTGCTCCAGACTGATGGCAAGTGTTACAGATATATTTGAAAGCTTTTAAAAAATTTAAACAAGTGCATCCAATTATCTGATAAATTAATTAACAGATCGACCTATGTATTCTCAAAACCAAACCAATAAAAATATCTGATAAATCTTTTATTTCCAAAACATACTCACGGTTGGCATTTTTGATTTGTCAAAAACTAGGGTAATCTTGGCACAAGTATTACTTGGTTCAGCTGCGTTTGGCACGCACTGTGTGTTAACACCTGGAGGGATATGGGGGGCCTCTGAAGGTCCCTGGGGGGACGCTGAGTCAACACAATGTCCCCAGGGTAGGCAAGGAGGGGTGAAGCAGACTTTGTTGGTCTCTGCGATGCACCTCTGTCCAGCTGGGCATGCCTCCACTGGCTTTGAACTGTTTGGATGACTGAGACAATTGAGTGGACCACACCACAGCTAAAATGGGGTTGAAAACCAATCATAATAAATTTGCAACATAAGTTTTATACCTCTTCTACAAATGCCATTGTTACAAAAGCAAATGGAATGAAAATGAAAGAAAATTTTACACTTGCAAGCCTGTATGCTCAATATCTTTGATGATCACAAAGATTTGACAATTATTAACAATGACTGGTAAATCAAAATTAATATGTGTCACTTCATCTACCTACATATATAACAAAATATTCACCATCACATACCCTTTTCAATTGATAAAGCATTTTTCTTTACCTTGGTGCACTGAACCACTCCATTATTGCACTTGCAGGAATTGCATTCATGTTCCCACGAAGAGTTATGTGAATATACACGACGGCTGTATGTACATGGCAAGGGGGCTGGCTGCTTCCCAATCACTAAAAGAATTTTAACAACTTGCATTCCTTGGCACACAGCCGATCTATATTTTTTGAAACTATAAAAAATATTCTATCAAATAACTATTCTAACAATTACAAGATTTGACCATGCAGCCAATTCTTTCTGGAATCTGTAAACTTACAAATTAAATCTAGACATTCTTTTCAATACCACTTCCAATACAGTGATGAAATCCTTGAAACTGACTATTAACACTTCACCGTATGCATGCATACTCGTGCACATGTGCCTGTGTGTGTGTGTGTGTGTGTGTGTGTGTGTACGTGCATGCACACACATGTCAATGTACCAGTGTGTATCATACTTACCCTCCTGACATCTGTCCCCTGTTCTCCCAGGAGGACACAAGCACTTATATGACCCAATCTCATCTATACATGTGCTGCCATAGGAACAGGGATTGGAAAAACATTCATCTATATCTGTAATAGATATGGCAAGAATGTATCAATTTATATGGCAAAGAATTTAACACATGCAAGGAACAAGTTTTGACAAGAAATGAAAACCACTTCAAAATCCTAATCAGCAGGATCCTCTATAAACCAAGTCAACCATTAAAAATCAGAGTCAAGGATATCTGCACAAACTGAGACAGAGGCAAAGGCATCTTCAACATATAATAGAAAAAATGACAATGCTATGAGCACAAGGAAGTAGTTTCTCATTTAAGAGAAATCCAATATCCTATAACATGTTTTGCAACTGTTTATCATTTTCAAAACTTACTTATTCTGCAGTCAGGTCCAGCAAAGCCACTGCTGCACTGACACTGGTGCCAGTTTATACCATCTATGCACTTTGCTCCATTATAACTGAAATACAGCACCATTTAAATATATCATCACATTGTGTCCTATCAATGTATTTTCTAACAAATGGTACAAACAAATCTTGAAAATAGAAAGTCTCTTATATTGTGCATACTATTTGCCTACTCAATTAACAAAAAAGTGATTAAACTATATAATACACAGGGGCGGATTTAGGCCGTCTTCTGGGTCTTCCGGAAGACGGTCAGATTTTCAAGTTTACATTGACGGGTATCCAATTTTTCATGTTGGAAGACGGTCAAAATTGGAGAATGAATCAACAAAGATAATTTGGAAGACTGTCAATAAATAGGTCTGGATCCGCCCCTGATACATACAGTATAGCATTCTTGCAATGACTGCTGCAGTATGTAATAATGTCATAGCATAGGGGTGCTTTATTTTTAACAAAATCATGATTCTAGTTCTCACCAAGGGTATGGATTGCAGTCATTGATGTTTTCCCCACATGTCACCCCCTCAAATCCTTCCCTACAGATACAGGCAAAACTGTCACCAGAGTTGACACAGGTCCCACCATTGTTACAGGGGGACGAGTCACAGCTGTGGTTTTTAGCTGGAATCAATGCAAGCTAGATATTAAGAGCACATCTATTTTACAAAACATTAGCTTTAACAAAAAAAGTAGTCTGATCATTTTATTCTCATTGATATCTTATCCATGTAATCCTGTTTTCATATTTCTTAACTACCATGATTACTTATACAAATATGATTTCATTCAAATTATTATTTACTCTGAATAAAATATGGTAAACCAAAGCTCACCGCAACTTTAAAAATGTATTTTTACTTCAATTTTCACCAAAAAAAGCTCACCTAGATGGCATGTCTGGCCCTCCCACTGAGGTGGGCACAAACATGTGAAAGTTTCCCCGAGATCAATACAAGTGCCACTGTTGGAACAAGTGGAAGCATCACAATGGCTGTGCCCTGGAGAACGGAAAAACAACATCTTAATTCCTTAACTCAAAGTCTAGAGGTTATCTTTTGAAGTACAAAGTGTACTTAATTGATTGAAACATTTAAACATGTGATTTAAACATTAAGCCCATGCACTTATCTAAGTAACAGTATGTTTAGCTATGTAATGTACAAATATTACTAACATTTGCTACAAACACGAGTATAATGACAAGTCAGGAAAATTAACAATACTAAATCTTTTCTACACAAACCTGGGTATAATGACAAGTCAGGAAAATTTACAATACCAAATTTTTCTGTGCTCATGTTACCAGCAGAAAGTTACTCACTGAGGTTACATCTTTTTCCTTTCCACCCATCTTTGCATAAACAAGTGAAATCATCCACCAGGTCCACACATGTACCATTATTACGACAAGGTTGGTTTTCACAGTCGTCTTTGTCTATAGAAATTACATGACATTAAATTAGAATCTAACTCAGCACATTCTGCAATTTTGTTTAAGTTAATAAAGAATATTCACAGCACTTCTCTGATATGTAGTTGATAACAGCAAGAAGTGAGATTAGGCATTTTGTGACAAATTTAACAACTTAACAGAATATGGGTAAAGCTGTGTGTGTGTGTGTGTGTGTGTGTGTGTGTGTGTGTGTGTGTGTGTGTGTGTGTGTGTGTGTGTGTGTGTGTGTGTGTGTGTGTGTGTGTGTGTGTCACAGTAAACCCTTTATTCTTATATACTTACTAATGTGACATAGGTCTCCCTCCCAGCCTTCCTTACATATACACTGGAAGTCATCAATCTTATCAATACAGGTGCCCTGGTTCAGGCAAGGATTTGGAGCACAGTCATTGATGTCTATAACAAAACAAAACAATGTCTCATGGGCATATTAAACAATAGTTCATATCCAGGAGAAGCTATCATTGTTGTTGAATTTAAGTTCTCTTTACTCTAAAAGTTAACAAAAGCAACCAAACATGATTAATTAATCACACACCACTGTAAATCCAACATTTTCCAACCCAATTGTATTACATGCAATATATAAATTATGTAATTTTAAATTCAGTAGGCTTACATTTTAACCACAATTTTTTCTCTCAGCAACACAGATATAATTTTTCACTCACTTTCATGACAATAGGTTCCCGTGTAGCCTTTATCGCATACACATCGGAAGCCACCGTCTGCCTGGCTGTAACAAGTACCATGATCTCCACAAACTCTAGAAGGCACCAGCTGTATACCACCCAGGCTGGTGTTTGATGGAATGGGAACTGTGCAGCTGTCAATAACTGGTAAACAGAATAAAATGATTCTTATCAACATTGTACTTATTCTTGTGTTACATTAACTTGCCGTTATCTTGTGCTATAAAACTTATGGGATTGGACGCAGGAAGTATTCGATAAATAAATGGCAAATATAAGGAGAATTTCAACATTGGCCATTCCGTATATCATGCTAATTAACATTCTTGCTTACATGAACAGTTTGTATAATTTTTAATGATCATCATAAAGAAATACTGTATGAGGCATTAAAACAGTGCCCTCTTCTGTACATGTCCATTAAAATCAAAACACTAACCTTGGCATGTCTCTACTTCACATCTATACTTTGGCCTTGAACAATTCTTGTCTTCGTAGTTTTCAGTGCATAGGCAATAGTAGTCATCTACCATGTTAAAACAGCGTGCCCCATTGCGGCAAGGATTTGGATCACAAAGATCAACATCAACCTGCAACAGAACATGGGTTTTTATTCACATGGATATGAAGTGACCAAGTAAACTGCAATGTCTCACAAGAAGATATACCAGAAGGCAATTTTTTAAAAAATTCAATCAACTATAATCCTTCAATACATTTATTATACACCAAATATCATCATACCAAGAGTGAAACAATTTTTGGGACCAAAAAGTTCCCACAAACCAGCCAGAACCAAGATTATAGTTTTTAATCCCAACTAGTAAGTGGGAAAAGTTGAACAATATATTTATGTGATCAGCAGTGCCAAGTAGTTAAAGATATTGGTTAAGATCCTGTTTGAAAGATGATCTGAATTCCTACCCCTGTTAATAATCTGGAGATTGTGATAGAGACCAAAATACCATAAAAGTTGACAAGGAGCAAGTAATTATATACGTAATGCGTAATATACCCTCACACAGAGTCATCTCAAATGAGGAAATCCGTTTCAAAACATCTTACCTCACAGTTAGTTCCTGTGTACCCCTGGGGACAAAGACAGCGATAAGAGTTGACAAGATCTTCACAGTGAGCGCCATGGTGACAAGGGTTACTGCCACACTCGTTGATGTTGACCTCACAATTTCTGCCTACAAACCCCTGGGGGCACTGACAAAAGTAGTCGTTCACCAAATCCTAGACAGAAAATTAAAAAAAAAATGTTGATCAAATCAAATTAGAATTTCTCTAGCAAAAGAAAAAAATTAAAATGATGGTGAATCAGTTTCAGAAGTTTTTCTCACCATGCACTTCATTAATTATGAGAATTCACATCAGGCAATTTATATTGGAATTTATTTTGTGTTTCTACCACCAGATAACAAAAGCTGGCAATATGTACTTACTGTGCAAGCACCTCCATTCTGGCACTGGCCATGACAGTCCATTATGTCTAAAGAAAAAACAGTGATTAGCACTCCTTTAGCTTTGATGCACCTTTTACAAGATGTAAGGAAAAACATTGACCAAGGTTGTAATATATTAAGTTCTGTGCAATTACCATTTCTTTTTTGTTGAACAAATTGTTAAGTGGCTGTGCATGTGTGTGCTTGTCTGTATACCTGTACATGCAGAAATGCATGTGAATATGTGTGAATTTGAAATGACAGAGAAAAGGCATGTCAATGAGATTCTAAATCCGTTGTCAAAGCCAAAAGAAAAAAACACTTGTCAACATAAATATTACTGCACATAATACTTACTGACATCACAGTTTTTCCCAGTCCATCCCACAATACAATCACAAACGTAATCTCCAACAAGATTGCGGCAGGCATATGCATTCTGACAAGGACTTCCTGAACACTCATCCGCATCAAGTTGACATTGCGACCCTCGCCACTCTGATTCACATTGGCAAAAATAGCCGTTTTCTCTGTCATGGCAGGTACCTCCATTCAAACATGGAATGGACGCACATTCATTGATGTCTGAAAAGATTCCGTAATGTTTGGTTTAAATATCATGTCAACATTACTCACTGAGACTCAGAGTGTGGCTCTTTGCCTTATAATTGCAGTGCACTTTTTACTGAATGGACACCTTTTTCTCAAATGATTTTTACCAAAAAGGGTCCTATTAATAAGGCAATATTGTCCATAATTATCATTTCTGTGACTCATTCACTTAAATCAACTCCTCATTCCAATGTTATGAAAATCACATTTCAAGAGTATAGTTTTTCGTGTACTGAGGTCTGAATTATTAATAAAGCATTAGGCAAATCATTGAACCGTCATACTCACTGATGTCACACAGCTCCCCAGTCCAGCCTGGCTCACAGACACAAGAGAAAGTCCCCTGCCTCTCCACACATGTGCTGTGGTTAGAACAAGGTGATGGGGCACAGATGTAGTCAGCTAAAAAAGAAAAACATATATACATATCTATTTTCATGCAACAAGAGAACTGGGATGCTTTAGTAAAACAGGCACTTGCTTTGGTTAATTTTCTCATTCAAATCATCAGTACATGTAATTTATCCTTGGCATTACTTACTAATGCAGTTATCTTTTTCTTAATTAGTAAAACTAGCATGTTATATGCCTTCATATTAATTGAATCAAAACTATAATAATTTTCTTTGTCATGAATGACTATATCTGCTATGGAATCTTATCTAAATGCATAAGCTACAAAAACAATACCTGAAAACATTTTATATCAACTGATTACCTTGTATAACACGCACACATTAAAAATCAATTTCCAACATACAACATATGTACATATCAGCTCAATAATAATCAAATGTTATCAATACCTCTCTCACAGTTGACCCCAGAGAACCCAGTTGGACAGTTACACTGATACTCATCAGGTGCTGTGTTACGACAGGTGCCTCCATTGAGACAGGGGTGCTTGTTGCCACAATAATCTAGATCTGGAATGATTATCATCATTGCATATCAGTGCTACATATAGATACTTCAATTTCATTGGAACTATTTGCTACAATACATGAAAATTTAGAATTACATTTTTTTCTCTGCTGATAAAGATTATACGTGATGTGAAAATATGAAAGCAGGTTTACCATTTTGCAACTAGCAAAAAGGAATTGAAGCTTGCCTGAAGAAAACATACATATTGATAAAAATTCAGATGGCATAAAAGCATTTTTGCATCATTTTCACAGGTGACTGGGATGATGCTATTCAATCTGTCTTTCACAATAACCTTCTTTGATGTTATAATCAGTAATTGAAGGGGAGGGAAATTATAGTGGAAACCCTGCTCAGTTATCGCACATCACAATTGTAAGTGAGTTGTCATTGAATTCCAACACTGCTTTGAACTTCAGAAAATTGCCACCCGCATGCGATTTCTACGTTTACAAATAGCAGATTACAACATAACAAATGTATCACCTTTGTCACATAGGATGCCTCCCCAGTTGGTATCACATATGCACTGCCAAGGAGAACCTTGACAAGAACCATGGCGGCAGTTTGGATAGGGAATACACTGGTCACAGAGCGGGCCCTGCCAGCCAAATGCACAACTGAAATTTTAAAAAAGTATAATTGCTATGTATAATATCCAACAGATAATTGTCAATTTCTGATTTTTTTTCTTAATGAATTCTATTGAGCTCTATAGTTATTGGGAATTTTGAATGTCAATATGTCATGCATTTTACAAATTAAAGGTACCCCTAATGACAACATAAAAATAAAAGCTTTACTTGTAAAATTTTACATTATCTGAAATACAAATTAAACAATTGTTTTTATATCAGTGGAACTTTCAAAAATATTTACAAATATTTAATCAGACTCAATGTAAAAAAATGATACTTTATATTTCTGTTATTTTATAAAGTTTAGGAAAAGAAAAGGTGTTAGTGATGAAAACAATAATTTGAAAACCACCATATCAACTATCAGGGCAGTTGATTAGTGGTCACCCAGTAGCCTCTGGGGCTTTTTAAAATGACCACCAGAAGGTATAAATGACATCATAAGCACTTAAAGGCATCTGAGTAAAGCAAAACTACTGATAGGATTTGGGGACCTTTCCCAACTGTTGATGAGAGCTTAAAGACACCTTATAGTGCCTTAATCTTCAAGTGAACAGCATTAATCACATTTGCCAAACATTCTAAGTAGATAAAGAGCTTACCAATGGACAAAGGTATCAAACAATATTTGGTATTCATGATTTTATAGGGCTTGAGTGAGATTTGTAAATATGGCTGGTGTACATGTAGACTTTTTTAGGCACTATTGGAACTTGTTTTTGGCTTGAGGTGTTTGTTTCCAATTTTGAGAAGAATGGGTTTCAATTACTGATGAAATAAAATAAATTCTGTACTTTTAACCTTTCCAATCTGGATTTTAATCTGTTTTGACTTCTGTAGTTTTTTACCCAGATTCTGGAACCGCAAAGTAATTTACATGCACTGCAAGCTTGTCGCTCTCACATAACTCATGGATATAAAAGTGCATTTAATTTGTTTTTTTGCTGCTAAACCATACCTAGATCAAAAACTGTACAACAGAGGCCTGACACAGAGTCCCGTTTAACTACTTTAAAGCTCGAAGCATATTTGCAACACCTGTGCCATGACAGTCAAACATTCCCACACTACGCCACTGATAAATGACTGTTTAGATCCTGTTACTATAACAATCAGCTTCTAACTGTCGAGGAAGGGGTGACAGTGTGGCCCCTTCACCTAAGAAGCACACAATTACAGTGTACACCTCAACAAATTGCCATCTAGGTATCCACGCTTGTGGCCTCACGCATGCTTCACTTGTCACAGGCTCAGACACTGTGGGGAAACTTGAAACTGCCTATTTGTTTTCTTTATCACAAGTTGACAATTCAACAATTTGGGTGAATAATACTGCCTTTGGGCCGGCACTATGTTTAATATGCAATGTAGGGGTCATTGACTATTGTCACACTTGTTTGTTCTATAGATAAAAACTGCTTGTCCCCTCCCCCAAATTGAAACTTCTGCACTCTATTAATCCTAGAGGTCATTGGATAACAATAGCTCAACGTGCCTATAGTATAGGCTCGAGCAAACTTTCTCACGGGAAAAATCAGCAGTGCTGAATGCAGTTTGTGACTCACCTGTGCATGACGCAAGGGGGTTTATTTTTCACCTGTGTTCAGAATAGGATCTGGGGCACCTCCAGTCCCCCCTTACATCCCTATCTGTCAAGTCCCAATTGTGAAGGTAATCAGGACACAATACCAGGCAAATATAAGAGCCTGATCGAAACCTTTGATGATGAATTTGATACAAATATTTATAACTGAGCCTGTAATAGAGTGGAAGGACAGGTGGATTGAGCAGGAGGGGTTGGGGGGGGGAGGAAGGTGGGGTACTAACACCTGTTGGCTGAGACATGCTTATACATGATGAACCACAGCACATTCCATTGATGATTCCCCTTGATTTATTCCTATCTGAATAATATCAATAATTAAAAATGAAATAAAATGAATAAAAGAAAAATGAAATTTAAAAGAAAAAGTAATGAAAATAATCAAGCATTTGTGTAGTGATAAATAAAAATAGATAAGAGAAAATCTGCAACCTGAATCTTTTTTTAAAACGATTGTTCATCGTATTAAAAAAGATTATGACAAGGAAGTGAAATGTCAAATTGATACTGTGTAATCATACACATTTGGTATGTTCACATATTATAGTATTAAATGATATAAATCAGTACCACACATCTGAATGAGCAGCAGACATAATTTTTTTTAATATTGTCAGCCTAAATTATCAGATTACCATAAAACAAAACCGCAAGTTGGCACGAAGTCATGATTAAAAATATTTGTTCTCAAATTTCCAACTGCAGATAAATGGACCATTAAACCCTCCATTAACCCGCCATGTCTACATTAACAATGTATGGCACAATCCTACATCATCACCTGAATCAATGGGGATTTAAAAGAACATACCTGTACACTGGGGCTTTGTGGAAGTGTGGGAAAATAGAAGAGTAAGCAAACATGCTCAGACAGTACAGGACAACAAGGGGTCGTATAACCAGACCAAACAAACCACAGCTTTACCTATTGGCACAGTTGAATTAAAAATATAACCTTAATGCAGAATGTGGTCAAAATATGTCATTTTATGCATCAATTATTGTTAACTGAAGTGAGAATTTGAAACCTAAAGAAAAAAAATAGGTATTAAGATGTACAAGGTGCCTAACAAACACATTAAACGACCGAGTGACATACCACACAGGTCATATAATGCAACACCTACAGCAAGGCTGATGGTGGAATGTGCATTTTCAATGGAGAATGTATTCATATAGAGATGGCAAAGGAAAACTTGGTATTATCCTTTAGTTAAAACAGGCATCAATATCAGAAAAACACACCTTTCTATTGTGTGGCCAGTGTCCAAACATTTACTTTCCATATTTGCTAGCATTTCTTTAATTACATGCCACCTGTGTCAATGGAGTATTAAACACTAGAATGTTGAAACCAGAAATATGGACATTTGGTGACAAATAATTACTTTTCACATGAATAAATTTAAGCATTGCATAAGGCATAGATAAGTTGTCAAACAAAATATATTAAACAAAAAACTGAGCATTTATATAAATGTGGAGGGGTTAAATTCTAGTAAATTTTTAAAAGAAAAGATATTATTTCACTAAGTGGTCTTACATCATCACTCACGTGTTTGGTTTTATGATAATATTTCCATTATCTACAAGGTCCCTCCCAAACACAAGACTTTTAACTTTAAATAAGATCAAAGGGCTCAGATGAAAGGCTGTGCTTATTTTGCTCCTCATCTCTATCACTTTTATTGTAACATTATTTTTGATCTATCTCATGAAAAATATTTTCTACAAGTTTGGTGTAAGTCAAAAATCAAGAATTGGAGTGTGAAATAAAGTAAAATGTTTTTTGCCAGCTGGATAGTTCTTTTTGGTCTGCAGAATGTTTCACATGGCAGTTTTTTAGCATCTTAAACACAGGTCACAAATCACTTAATGCCAGGGTTTGTCCTCTGTGTTGATGAACTTTGTGATAAGACATCACATTCATTATGTTGTTTGGAAGAGATTTTTCCCCTCTACAATCCGTTAGCTAGGTAGGCACCCTCTGCTGAAAAAAAGCGTGGGAAAGTTCTATGAGAGGAGGTAGTCGATGTAAATCATGCCCAGGGACAGTCTCAAATGGCAGAATGGGGCAATCACCCAAGACCAGTCCAAATTGAATCTTTGCATGCTGGGAGTTATTCACTTGCCTAAAATCATCCCAACTGGATCACATCACTACTTTTACTGCTTTTAAATATATAATACTTTTATTACAGGGTCACTATGCTCTTCACAGCTCAGGTACTCTCAGCACATGCCAGGGTCCAAAGTTACATGAACTCAGTCCTCCACTGTTTTGGAGACCTTCCCTGGTCCTGTCACTCATAATAGGGAGTCACTGCACATAAATCATGCTAACAACTACACTTAATAGACCCTCATTGCCTTTAATACACCTGGGTCTAACCTGCCTGTCATCACAATGTTACAGATTAAGTACTGTAAATAGGCTCCTCAAACTGATCTCACTGAATTTACCCCTATGCCTTATTATTTGCTTGGTTGATTATAGGGGCTATGGCAACCTAGCCACCACCACATTGTACCACAAACATGTATTCTTACTGAGCAGTTCACATAAGCTTATCATAAAATGTGCTTTTAAAAGAGATTCTGCAAAAATAAACTGAAGTCCTTGACCCGCTACAACTCTTACAGGGCCAATTTTTTATTTCAAGTTTCAAACCATCTGTGCAAATTAAAATGCTTTGTGATATGGGGGTTTAATCCATTTAAGTAATTTTACACACCCTATACTATTAGTACAACAGTTCTAAGAAATGTGACTGTAATCTAAGACATGTGAAATAATGTTAGATGTGTGAAGGCATGGTTGCAGAAATTGCTTGCATTTCACTGACATAAACAATTGAAACTTTAATTATTCTTACCCCTGAAAAAATGCTACCAGCTATAAATGTAAACTGAACTTTGTGACTGCTTATTTGGTAATGTGGGAATATACATTTTTTTTTTTTTTTTTTTTTGCATAACTGCTGATGATAATTTGCTATGGGAGGGCTTGGAAGGATGAAAAAAGGAAAGTGAAAGGAAATTTGGGCAGTGGGGCTATATCCCTACCTGCATTCCCCTGGCTGGGTGCATGACCCATGGATGCTGTGGCAACCCGTTCTACAGATAGCTGGAAAAGCAAACAGATATTCTTATGTATAAATATCATACAGGACAATAGCTTCAATTATTACAGACTTGTAATAGTTCTTATTACTATAAACAAAATAAATAAACCTGTCTATTGTTAAAAGCAAAGAATGAAGTTAATGAAGCACAAAATGCAGTGAAAACTAGACATTTTTCCTCTATGAATCAACACAATAGTCTTATAGACAAGAGAGAATAACATTAATTCCACAAATAATACAGCCTGTTATAGGCAATTCTGCAAGACCAACCCAGCAGACTTCAGAATTCACAAACACAGCAGTATGTGATGTTGGATGCAATGTAAAAAGTTTACCTAAGGCCACAGGCTGCCAAAGGCTAGCATGTTTTCTTTACCTGAACACGGCATTAACTAAAAATTTATTAGGAAAATATTTGGTTTGGGGGTTACAGACGCTAACAAAGTCTTGATAAGCACTGAAGGAGAATGCCTGGTGTCACAATTGCACTTAGTGTTCTAAAGTCAGTCCTAGTGACATAACTGGGATTAGAGGTCTACATGACCACGTCCAGACATGCCTATGAGACTTGGCAAGGTGTGCGACACCAAAGATAAAACAACACGGTTGTAACAGATTATAAAGACATGTTGCAGACTAACGAGTAAAATGCAACAGCTTTCTGTAATACAGAAGTATTAAAAAAGTATTAAAAAAACATAAGTACCATTTTTCTTTTCAAATTTGTGGACAGCCCATCTGTTGTGAAATTTGCATTTTTATAATTTTTCTTCTGTGATGTGTGTGTGCGTGTATGGGGGAAGAGGGGGGTGTAAAGGTGTGAAAGATAAGAGCAAAAATTTTCCAGTATTAAGGATAATATATGCTATAGCTTTCTTTCAACCAACCTGGATAAAAATGTAAGAGTTTATCAAACTTTACACTGTGTACCTTTCTGAAAAAATGTCAATTTTTGATAATTTATAAAACATGCTGAGTATTTCTATTTTTAAAGACAGCAAAGGGGGGAATGTTAAGGCACAATTATGTAATCCTGTTTGTTAATTTTAAAATTGTCTGTAAAGGGGATATCAAATGTATAGTGATTTTAGTCAAGATAGGTTGTGCTGGAATAGATAAGCTCAACTTGATGGTGTACATCATTTAAGGTATTTCAAGTCTGAGCACCTCAAAATCAAAATTCCCTCTACGGCTATATTTCAAACGGAGTATAAAAAAGTATTATGGGATGTCATCAATGTAGTCAATCTATGCTTGCAGGAAATACAGCTTCAACATCTCTTTAACTGTGTGCAAAAACATCAAAAAATCCCCAGAGGCACAATGTGAACAGAATCAAATGCGAGGCATATTTCTAGACCCCATTCAGAAAAACACATCGTACTAGTTAGGTACATCCAACTCTGCAGGGATTCACGCTAAGTGCAATCAGCAGAATCAGCTTAATTGTCTGATACACCTCCTCAAGCAGCTAGGGGGTAATAAAGCTGAGCACACCTGAAATTTAATTACTCGCTAGCTTCTCAAGGGCCCCTACAGAGTAGGACTGTCCCAGCTAGTAGATGTGTCTATCTGAATGCTCCCTTATAAACACCAACATAGAAGCCATGTATAATTCCATATCACAGCAATTTTCCCAGCTGTGTCACTCTTTCTGGTAATTTATGCTATACTATATTTTGTTTTACACATGTTATGTTTTCTCTCCAACATAATTTGTGTCAGCTGTAAGAGAACAAGGTTTACCCTACAGACACACTAATGCAGTAACATGTTTTGGCCCCTCATTTGATGTCTGGTTTTTCAAACATTTCGTGACAAACTTGTCAAGCCCCATACTGTTTTATAAAAGACATCCTGCATCATTGGCCTCCTTTGCTCTTGAACTCTGTACATATATGGCATTTGACATATGTAATATCAATTTTTAAAAAACTGACTGCAAGTAATTTATATTGTCAAGTCCAAGTTCATCTACTCGTAGAAACATAAAGGCAACACTAAAAGGACACCTTTCCATTCCTGTTTAATTTTTTCAGCACCTTTAAAAGGATTATGTGTCAGATGAACCCCAGAAATATCATGCAAGTCATCTACTCATCAATGAATCTGTTAACTAAGGCCATAACTTGTGAAATTTTTACATATGAAAGAAACGACAGCTGAGAATTATCCCACATGTGTGTTGACATAAGACAATGGTCGATAATTTACATGGCACGCACTGGTGGGTAATTAATACACATTATCAAGACACCAAGAAAAGAGGGCTACTAATGAGTGGTGTACTTTTCCAATATCTGGTCATTTGTATCGCCTATCAATATTTTCCAGAAATTGTGCTAAGTAAAGTCTAAACCTCACAGTCCAGGGGTAGACTACGTTATTAGTGCTTCATGGTCAAGAAAATATCATATTCTTTATATAGTTATAATTTTCTGACGGAACTAAGACATATTACACAAAAATGGGAAAAAAACTCCAAATATGGAGGAAGTGTGGGCATAGAGATGTGTGCGGACATACATGTGTGTGCGTGCGTGCGCGTGTGTGTGTGTGTGTGTGTGTGTGTGTGTGTGTGTGCGTGCGTGCGTGCGTGCATGTGCCTGCAAGTGGCCATCAAATCAAAATCTTAACATCGTCAATCTAACTGAAACATTTCAATATTGCAGATTATGCATTTTGACCATCTACTAAACTTGCATGACTCCAGTGGTTGAAAGAGTTTTAAAACATCAGTAGCAGTGTGTAAGTAGCGTGTTAATTGTCTTTTTCTGACAAAATACAAAGTGATTGTTCAGCATAAGCAATAACTACTGAATGAGTTAAAGATTGCAGAACCCCATTATTAGAAAAACTTGCAAGGTGTAGAAACATCAAAGTTAACATAAGTTTTCCATCACAATGAAGGTCTTGAACTTACTTATTAAATTATAATATTGTATTGTTATCTCAGGCAAGCAAAAAAGAGAACTTAAATAATTCACATGCAATGCCACAGATACCTCCAATAGCAACTTGTTATCTAATTAGTAGATAGCTGATAGAACAAAAAAATATTGCACTAAGTCACATCTATATGAAAATCAATAACAAATATACCCATCACCAAGTAACAGTTTCTCTGGTAAAACTTACTTTTTGGTGGTTAAAAGATTCATAAATATAAAATTTATCTTCTAAGTGACCTTCAAATTCTCATGTCTTGCTATTTTTTCTTACCTAGCAACACCTAAAAAACACTACTAAAAATGTTTTCAAATTGACAGAAAAACTGGATTGGGGGGGGGTCCATTAGGTCACTGCATTGGTTTAATGATATTAATGGAAAAAGATGCTTTTCACATTTGTTTGTTTTGAGGATGTTTTATCTTAGGATTTGTTCAATTCATGGAGAGATTATAACACATCAGAAGAAAAGTTGACTGTTATCACAGAGTCAAAGAAGGTAGCTTCAGGGTATGATGTAATTTCAGAGTATGATGTAATTCACTATCACAATAAAATAGCACCCATGTTGAATATATTTCCAAAATTTAACATTATGTGAAGTCCAGTCTTAATGTTTGAAAATGATACAAAATGTTACGTTTCCTCTACCTGTTTCACAGTTCATTCCCATCCATCCTGGCAGGCACACCTTATCTCCATTAGCGTTACATTCGTAGTGGCCAAACTGATCATTCCGTGGTCGACAAAATTTGTTGCATGTTGTGTTGTAGTAGAAGGGGTCACAGACTACTCGAATTCTGTAGACAAAGCTTGCGGTAGGTCCAATATGTGTCAGAGTGTGCCAGTCCTGGCCAGGAAGAATGATTCCTGAATGGGCAGCTCGCTCGATCATAGCATTGCCATCTATAAAATAGGTGGGGCAATTGTTATTTCATACTTTGCATTATTAGAACATTTATGAAAAAATGTCAACAAGTATAAGTTGTCTTTTTTATCAAATGCAAAATATCAGTAACAATAAAAGATTTAAGAAATTAATATGGCATTATAATTTTATAACAATTTTTTAATATAAAGGGGCATGGACAAGACTGAAATTCTATCAAGAACACCGTTATTTCCAATAAAATTATACTCTCTCCTCTATATACAAAAACTTTTTCATTTCTAAGATTTTCCAGACATAACACTGGCTTACTTCCCAGCCCTGGTGTTGTTCCATCCAAGTCCCAAGCTTCCAGTATCAAGGTGTATGAACGCTGTTGAGAGAATAAAGAAAACAACATCAAAAATAACATCAAAACCACAGAAAAAGAGAATATAACTTTCCACAGATGTCTTTCTTAAGGCAATATTAAAATTCAAATGTCTGCCACAATAGAGAGTTTACACAATTTCCAAAAAAAAAAAACCTTTGATCTTATTGAAATAAGAGAACAAAGACAACAAAAGTGAGGCAAAATTACAAAACAATTCTATCACCTGAAGTACGTTTGTCTATTAATTATGGAGAATAAGAAAAGGCAAGGCACACACTGCCTGGGTCAAATTTCTGTGACTTTAGGCTTAAGTAGTAATAAATATTTTATAGCAAGTATGAAGTCTAGTTATAATAATATATCTTTTATTATAAGGCATAACTGCATTTCTTGACAGAACGATTTCAGAACACTTATTTTAATTTTTTGTTTCTATAAATAACTTATTATCCAAATATACACAAAATTTTCTTTACATTTTCTTAATAAAAGGAAGATCTAACATCAAAATATTTTATCACATTTCTTAAGAATAATAGTCACTGCTAATCTAACATGGATAATGGGGATGTCATCAAAAATTAATGGAAACAGTCATCAAATAGTAGTCATATATTCCCAAGTAGATGTGTCCACATACAGAAATGGAAACTTTCTCACACTCCTCATTACTTATCAAATGTCCTATTCTCTCAGGTATTGTGCAACAGAAATCAGAACCAGTGTCATCTAATAAAAGTCAGTAAATCAGTTCCTTGGAGCTTTAGCCCATATATAGAACTTAACATCTTCACAATCTGCAAAATGAAAAGAGAATTTGTTGGGGGTCATTCATTCCTTTCTTCACCTGTCAGTGCAAGCTAGCATGTCACTACCAAGGGAGAGAGACAAGCAGCAGGCAAGGGACGCAGAAGAAAAAGAGGCTCGTGGCCCAGCAGGTCTTTAGCACGAGAGGCATCAGGTCTTGCTGGATGAGGGCCACTGAGTGTTTTGCCTGGCACACACCTGGCCAGGTGTGCTTAATGCTTGTAGCAATCAGTGGAGTGAGATGCTCACACATCCAGGCCAGGTAGAGCACAAGTCCACACACTCCCACAGGTATCAGATGTCATGCTCATCCCAGTAGGGGTGCAGCTACTGCCACTGGTGCCACAAGCCACAGACAACATATACTGATTTGACTAAGAGAGCATTACATGGAAGGGAGGGGGGGGGGGGGGGGGGAGATGAGTTGGCATCCTGTCACATATGTATTTCATATCAATATGAAAAACAGTTCAAATTAATATTCTAAGTAGGCGGTAGGCTTTTTTTAATGTGGCAAAATGAAATTATCAAAAACATGATTCAAGGTCATTTGTAAGATTTTTTTACATACTGCAGAATCATTTTAATATCACTACATTATATTTGATAGTTGAAATGAACTGCCTTTATGTTCCTACATTCCCTTGCTGACAGGCAATAGTGGTCACACAAATTACAGCAAAGATGATAAGTGAATTATAGGTATAAGCATGTGTAAATAGCTCTTGTCTAAGCCACAGTCACCAATTACAGGATTACAGGTAGTTACAATAAATGAGGCAATGCCAGACAGACTCCCCCTAATCTGTAACATAGTGGGGCAAATTAGCTGCGAGTGGCTTACCTAAAAACTAATGAAAAAACAAAGAACTAAAGGTGTAGTCACTTAGATTGGAAAAAACCCTAATTTGCTAGAAGCATTTTAAGAAATGAAAACAAATGATATGAGGATTGGTCTATGTAAATAAGAATTTATGGGGAGAGTTGCTTTGTGTAACAAGTGCAGCAAGTCAAAAATTGGCAATTGATGTTATTGGGCATATTCAGCAAATAGAGATTGTTGATTTTTTATATCAAAACAGGTCCATAGCCAGGGGGCTGGGAGTGTTGGAAAGCAATGCCCTTTTTGCCAGGGAAAGGTCCTCACTGGGTAAAATTTGATTTAGCTAGTACACAAAGGAGGTCTCATGGTAAAAGATCCAGTTTTTTAGGAAAAAACACTTTTCGTTTAAAATTGCTGGCTATACGCCTGAACAATTTACATTTTATAATATATACATTCTTTTTTCCTTTTGCCATTTCAATATCAAATATCGCCCAATTAAATTTATTGCATCTATATCTTTCTGAAACATAAATTTTATAAGTTTAAGTCAGGCAAAAGGTAAAAAAAAAACAGGCATCTAGACAGACTAGATAATGGGCAAGCAAATGGACAAGCAGACTGATGGACAGACATATAGACAAGAGAGTCTGGGAGAATTAAAAGGATTTTAAAAAAGTCTAGTAAAAAAAGTCAGGATAATTGCTTTTTGCCCTGCATATCAGCAGCTCCCATATTGTTGTTTAGCACCTGACTAAAGTATTATGTAACAAAATACACATATTTCATTGTGCTGACCTGAACATTGTTCACATTGTATTTCAAATGCACTGGAATTTATACTTGCCCCGTTTCATTCATGTTTGCGTTCAGGTGTTATCAACATATTTTGTTATCATTGTGTTCATTTTTACCACATTTGCTTTTGGAATTTAGAGCTAAGGTTCAAACTATGAAATACCTCAAAATGGCTTCTTTAAAGAGTAAAAATTAATGAATATATGTCAAAGAGATAGGTATGGTGACTAATCTGAATTAATTCTTTTAACAGTGAATAACTCATCAATTGATCAAAACATGATAATCATCAGTGATAACAATTAGGTAATGGATTAATTGGACAGGCTTATCCTGATCCTAACATTTATAAAAACAAGTAAGAGAAGAACTAACATAGAGGAGTTCAAGTTATAGCATAATGAAAACCTGATTCATAACAGAATTATAATTCATATGGGATCTACACTGAGCAGACACGTATTTCCATCTATCTACATATTTATATTATTTGCATAAGATATAATATTAAAGAGACCCCTGTGGCCTGTATGATTGCCCCCTCCCCTTTATCTTGAAAGAACAGATAACATATCTATTAGATAAAAAGGTTATCAAACTGATATACAGCATTTCATGATTTCCCATGTATGCACCTAGTTAAACACCAAATAGCCCTACAAATTTAGAAGGAAAATCAGTGTAAATGATCAGCATTTGTCATGATGTTTAAGTTCCCCTTTATATTGAAAATCAATATTTAATATTTTAAAAACCATCCCCTGAATATACATGTTTAAAGCTTATTGTCTCCGATCTGTACATTGAGAAACAAACAAACAAACAAAAACTTACACCAATATCAAATCAGGAACAGTTATGCAGATATGCATTTAATTGTCATTTAAAAGAAATATCAACAGTGACTGTCAAATATTATCTCTTTCTAAACAATGTTTGCACCTTGCATTTTTTGTAAGACAGCAGGTGAAAAGTAAGAGGTACCCTGGATCAATCTTTTATCACCCTCAAAGTTCACAGTGTTGATGTGAAGGTGCGTTAATCACTTCCATAATAAATACAGGACTGGATAAAGGCTGAAATGTGGTGCCTGTAAGACTTCCATTGTATGTGTCAAGATGTCCTCATCCCCCCCCTTCATTACACTACCTTTTTCTGTAAGCTGACTGAACTGATCACTGTAAAATTGAATAAAAACATGTGGAGCAGTGTGTGAATGCCATGTAACCAGCATCTCTTGCCATGCTTTATGGGGTAATCACAGGGTGTAAACTATAAAGCACTAAGACACTTCTGATTTATGGACCCATGTTGCTTTTACTATTAAAAAATACTTCAATTTATATAATTCTACTTTTTTATGCTATTTTGTATTTGGTGATTGTGTTTCCTACAATAGCAACTGAAGTAAAGAAGGAATTAATAAATAAAATCATCAGATAATTAAAAGTGTCTATCAAAATGATGACATTTTAGTGTTTCTTTATTTACATTATATGCATTGCAGTAGACATTAAATGCTAGAAGCAGTTCAAAAAAGATTCTTTACAAAACATTATTAGACTCGTCTTCTTTTGTATCATTTCCGATTACTTTAAAAAAAAATCTCTAAATTGCATTTTTCCTCAAAATATAGTTTGTGTATTGTTAAAAGATTTTTGATGGGTCTCCACATCAGATAGCTGGCATCTTGTTGAACTAGATCTCACAGAATTTCAATATTGCTTTATAACATGCAGCTAACACATTCAAGCCTGGATTTCCCACCGCTCACCCACACTAAACACAGTAACCATAATATGACTGCCCTTATTTGTCACTCTCCAACCCCCCCCCCCCTTTTTTTTCTAGTCCTTCACTGAAGCATACTTGACACAACCTAGGGGCCTTGTTTACACTCACAACAATTATCACATTATCAGCAATTCTAGTACTCTAAATAATTGTGCAAATAACCTATTTGCTGCAGTATCTAGAAATCCTCAATGCTTAAACCTATTATTTCCTACACATGCCATGTTATTTTTTGCCTGCAGAATTAACAAGCAATCATGTAATACTTATAAGCTATCATCAATAGTCTAATCTTTTAGTTCTGCTGTCAACGGTCCTTATTTTGGAGAGCTTTGTTCAGGATCCATCTCTCACAAGAGTAGTCTTGGCAATCGTAGAGATATCAGCACTTGAACTGCCAACCACTTGTGTATGAGTGTCAGAGAGTTTATTTTTCCCACGGATCCCACAAATGTGGAGGGCATTACCAACAGACCTCATAAAGACTTGCGCCCGTGTTATCAAATTCTTGTCACATTTTATACGTTTTATTTTGTCAGGCTAAAATTGTGTTATTCTCATTGGCAACCAGGGTAGCTGTCATGTCAAGGAATTTGAAACACCAAAAAGCCATGGAATCGATTCCCTGTGTCTCAGTATACCAATACAGGGCACAGCCAGTTTTCTGTAAACAAATGTAAAGAATTTTTACATTTAAAACCACTCTGCATGCAGTCCACGTTCTTTACCTTTCCACCACAAAAAGTCAAGTGACCAAGACTGAGTGCACTCAACCGAG